AGCCAGAGGTAGTACAGGAGAGGCTAGCGTGGAGCCTGAGGCCATGTTAAGTCCATAGAACCTAGCAAATGTGCACAATGTTGCCCAGGTTGCTCCTGCACATTTGCTAGATTCTCCACTAGTGTAACATCTCTCAGTCCCAGATGTGGTGGCAGTGCAACATGTCATGCATGGATTGAAGACTGGGTCCAAACTGTTGTCCCATGCATTAACACCAACAACTCTTATACACCATCCATGTTAAAAGAGTAAGGTATCGTTAACAGAAGGTTCAAAGTCAGCGAAGAATGACAGATCCCCTTGTGGCCATGCATCCCAGCCGGGACAAAAGCTCAAACCTCCTTGAAAGATCCTGTGGGTCCCTGCTCAGCAGACTGAGAGGTGTCAGGAACCAGACGTCCGAAGCCACCAAGAGAACCCTGTGGCCAAATGCATCACACTGTTAACCAAGCAAGTGAAGTTTGTGGACGACACTACAGTGGTGGGTCTTATCACCAAAGGTGATGAAACGGCCTACCGGGAGGAGGTCAGTGCCCTGACCCACTGGTGTCAAGACAAGACAAAGACATATATATATATATATATATATGTATATATGTACACACACACAAAGATATACATATTTAGTATACACATTCCGTAATGCACATACACTCTTATATTGTACATATATTTATTCATATACCTCACAGATTTACCCATTCTTATATTTTGCTTGTTCTTATGTTATTGTATTTTTACACACCTCTGTTGCTTGTGAAGCTCGCACACAAGAATTTCACTCACATGCACTGTATCAGTGTGTCTGCACATGTGATGTGACAATAAAAGTGATTTGATTTGATTTGATTTGAAGCACATTAGGGGAATCAAAGGGAAAGCATAAAGGAGACTCCCTGGCTAGGCACTGGTGAGAGCATCTACCCTTAGTTGGGCGCCAGCCTATACCAAGAAAAACCATAGATGGCAGAGTTGTGCGCTTGGACAGAAAGATGTCCAACCAGGCTATGCTGTACTGATTCCAAATCATTTGCACTACTTGTGGGTGCAACTTACACTCCCCTTAGGGGACTCTGTGGCAAGAGTGTCAGTCTGTTTTTTTGGTCTGCCCGGGAGATTCATGGTTCTCAGGGAAGTAAACTGTGAATGCACTCATGTTAGAAACCTCTGGGCTAAGTGACTGAGTGATCTCATCACCCAGATGGTTTATGTGAAAGGCTGCTGAGGTGCTTTCTGTTCAAATGAGGACGTGGTTGCCCTAGATGTCGGGAACTCTTCTCCCTGGGGTGGCTGTAGCTCCGGAGGTAGAGCTTCTACTGAGGTAGTATTTACTGACTGGAAGGTTAGTGGTTTGATTCCTTGGCTCCCCCAGTCTGCATGCCAACTGTCCTTGGGCAAGATACTAACCCCATTTGCCCCTGTCTCGTTGCTGCTGTCTTACAGTTTATCCATCTTTAAGTATATAAGCTCTTACATTTTTCATGTCCTTGTGTTGCATTATCTGCCCCTCCCTCTCCCATTACTGCTTTGTGTATTTTCCCTAGTCTTCAGACACTAATAAACATTTCAGATTTCATTGAGATGAGGCTGGGGAATGAGCAAGTGAATTTTCGTTGGTCTTGGATGTCCTCTTCCTTTCCTTTTCCCAGAGCCTTGCTCGCACTTCAGAGTTTTGATTTACGCTGATAAAAAGGGGCTCATTCTGGTACAGCAATCAGATATTTTGATGGATGTTAAAAGATCCCCGAGTTGATGGCAATACAAATTTCAGCAGGTCACAGGGTGGTTTTATGTGACAATGTAAACTCACAACCCCAGCCCGTTATCTGGTGGATTTATGAGAAAAATGTAATTCTCAGCTGGAAAACTCACTGGAGCTGTCTGCTAACTCAGCATATCAACTAATCAGTGAATCGCCCTCATTCTCATACTGGTTTTTGTTTCCTCTCTTTTTTTGTTTTTAACTTTGACCCATAAAATTGGTTATCTTCTCTTTGTTGGACTGTCGTTTTTCTTTTGCAAATAGCCAAAAATCCCTCGCTGTGCACAGGGACATGTTTGTTATTGCTGGAGAATGAGACTGAGGGGGACTCAGTTGGAACTCAGTTGTTAAATGAGGTTTGGATTCTCAGCAGCTGACTGTGTGAAGTAATGATGCTTCCAGCCGCTGATTTCCCGTAATGCTGCATTAATCACTGGACATACAATCCTTAGTAGGGATTCAAGCACAGAATCTCATGAGTCATATCAGATATTTAAATACAGTTACATCCTTTCAATCATTTGCTGTTGTGCAGTCTTCCTTTGGCTTGGGTTAAATATTTTGACAGTTATTTAAAGTGGGATTTTGGAGATAAGTGGATTAAAACGGCTAGTAAAACCAGGAGACAGGGAACAACGGAAAACGAGTAACTTTAAAAAAAAAAATTAAACACTACACGTGGTCTGTGCATAGTGAAATTAAAATAATGGGAATCACATCTGAAACAGTCAAAGAGGCCTTCATACAAATCTACACAAGGCCAAGTTTAGCAACCTACAGCTACTTTTGGTCTTAAGAATTGCAGATACACTATAGATTACAAGGATTAAACGTAACCTTAGGCATGTTTTCACGATTTAAGGTACATTTCTCTTTCTGCGAGGCTGTAGAATGCTGATTTGTAGAAATTGAGTAATATGAAAATTAAGTAGTTAATATACCTCAAATACAAATAATCCTTTGCGTTTCTCTCCGTACCCGATTTTGTATCTGGTTCAGATTTTGAGATGAAAGGGTCAAATATCTGGTGAGTTTCTTTTGGTTTGGTTTGTTTTTTGGAAACATGGAAAGAGTCAGGATGCATTTACAAACTTATGAAAACATAAGAAATTATAACATGTTCAATTAAGAAGATTTTGTAGCAGGACAATCATCCCAAATGAACTTTAAAACTCAGAAGATTAAAGATGACCAAGGAATGCATTTTCATGGACTTTCCTCTACGTGCGCTTGTGGTTTCAATGAATCCGGTGAATCCATCTATGCAGCTTGTTTGAAATTGTTAAGCAGATATTATGCAAGGGCGCAAAGGCAAGAAGTAAATCATGGATGGAAATAAGCCACCCCCCATAAAATCTTATTTCATTTTAATGATCAGATTGTTCAAACATGTTATTTCTTTAGTTGTCAGAAAATCATGTGTCCCAGTCTCCAGTGAGACAAAGAGGGACTATTCCTCCGTTTCCTCCAGGAAAGGGCAGAGCAGGCTGTACCTGCTGCGGAGACTCAGGTCGTTTGGAGTGGAGGGCCCACTCCTGAAGAAATTCTATGACTCTGTTGTGGCTTCTGCTATCTTTTATGGCGTGGTCTGCTGGGGCGGCAGCATCTCTGCTGGGGACAGGAAGAGACTGAACAGGGTGATCCGAAGGGCCAGCTCTGTTCTAGGATGCCCTCTGGACCCAGTGGAGGTGGTGAGTGACAGGAGAACGGCGGCTAAGCTGTCATCCCTGATGGACAACATCTCCCACCCCATGCAGCAGACTGTGACAGCACTGAGCAGCTCCTTCAGTGGGAGACTGCGGCACCCACGGTGTGGGACGGAGAGATTTCGCAGGTCTTTCCTCCCCACTGCTGTCAGACTCCATAATAAAGACTTTAACTGATCAAGCACACACATCCATACATATGCAATAATACTAAGTGCAATAATCCTTTCTGTCATCGTTGTATTTTTACTCAGTTGTATATAGTATTTGTATTTGTATTCTATTTTTATCTTATTGTATATTTATTTTATTTTATTCTATTCTGTACAGTTGTGTACTGTATTTATTCTTATTGTATTCTAATTTTTGCCTCATAACTTTTGCACTGTCCACTTCCTGCTGTGACAAAACAAATTTCCCACGTGTGGGACTAATAAAGGTTATCTTATCTTATCTTATCTTTCCCCACATGAGGGATTTTCCTCTGAACTGAGCAACTCTAGTTGAGGTAAACAGGCGAGATAACTCACTGCACTTCTGCAGTAGGGCAGAAAAGGATACACACCATATGTGTGCTATTGGTATTTCTGTGCTTGCATGGGTTCTGTCAAGGTACTCTGGCTTCCTCCCACAATCCAAAGACATGCAGTTAGTGTGTTTAGGTTAATTGGTTATTCTAAATTACCCATAAGTGTGAATGTGATTGCAAATTCTTTTCTGTCTCTCGGTGTTATCGCTGCAATAGACTTGCGACCTGTCCAGGGTGTACCCCGCCTCTCGACAGCTGGGATAGACTTCAGACTACCCGTAATAAGTGGAAGAGCATGGATGAAGCAGCAGCTGTATGTGAAATTTGTTATAAATCCATAAAATTGAAAGATGCACATGACAAGTTTTATGTTAACCAGACTAGACTTTGTTGAACACTCCTAAAAATAACCCTTTACGTGAACTTAAATAATCGTGGAAAGGATTTCCACATTAATAAATGGCTTTCTATTCACACTTCTGTTTGTATTTGAGTTGGCCTAACAAAATTTGCATGAGTTGGATCATTTCCATCAAATTAAGTTGGACTCAAGTGCAGTAAATAAGTTGATTCATCATTAATTAATTAAGTTGGTCCAACTCAAGTACATTAAGCTGGAATAACAGAATTGCATAATGCTTAAATAAAGCAAGCTCTAACTGGGTCTTGAAATGCCAGATTATGTACAGAACCAGTGCCAAGTAAAGGCTTTTGACTTTGACCTACCTGAGACAAGTCACACAGTGGCTTCAGTGCTTGCTGTACCTTCTTTATCTTTATGATATGACAGCGTACACAAGAGAGGAAAGGGGGGACCTAGACCACTGTATTGAGGGCTAGAGGCTTTGTTACATGGGTTACCTACTCTGCTGTGAGCAACAGGGGTGCCCTACTTTAGAACCTTTTAAAAAATCAAAGAAAATTCCAAAGCAGAAGTATCTTTACTGTCATATTTCTTTTTCAATTTCCAAAAATACCCAGTAAGTAAGATGCACTATGAATGTTGTCTGGTGTGAGTTATTTATTAACATAATAATATTTCATAATTACTGATCTCTCATAATTGCACAAGAAAACCTGAAAAAGAAATAATAAATTCAAATGCACAAGTATTGAATTCACAGAGCTTTTCTGCTTCCAAATGGAAAAGCAAACAACTGAGCGTTGAAGTCACATTCAGTTTTCATCTCCTTGAAAGGGATGACAAAGCAATGGCTGGTGTCTTCTCTGCTCTGTTGTTGGCTCTCCGTCAAACTGAGCTGCACAGATGCACTTACCATCTGTGCATATCTACATTAAATCCTGCTCTTCTCCATTGAAAAAAAATCACTTATTGAATAAAAGCTCTTCAAGTACATTCTGGTGTTGAACCAGTAAATAAATGAACATAAGAATCCACTTCAGTCATGAAAAAATATATATATATATATTATTCACAGGTAGTATTCTGTTGTTCGTGATGCCTTCATGGAAGGTGAAAGGGCTACTCCAAACTGCCGAAGCAAGACAAGGTGGCGGCATAAATGCATACAGAAGGTGATAGGGCTTAAAAATTAGGGTGAACGATGGCACAAACCAAGATATATTCACTGGTTCACTGATCACTAACATTTTGTCAATCCTCAACGGGAAGTGAGGGTATGCAGTGCTGTGCTGTACACAAAATAAATTAATCAGCTATGACTTCTAATTCAATCAAATTCTAAATATACTTAAAGTTATGTTCAAGAAAAAAAACATTTCGTTTTTATAAGACTTGTAAATTAAAAGAAAAAAAATCGCAAAAATATATTATTCAAATAAGAGAATTCAGTCTATATTGTGTTTAAAAATGTTTTCTGACTCTTAGAGAAAATAAATGAAGAAAGTGCAAAGCATGCAAGAAAACAGGACAATATGACAAACTGTGGCTGAATAACAATGATGGTTTGATGCTATACACAGCTGATCTGTCATATATGTGGAAGCAGACAGGTCACGTGGCCTTTATGTGTCCAACAGTTTGGGTTCTTCATCATCAGTGTTTTCAGACACTACAGAATAGGAGTGTCTGTTATTACCGTGCATCACACTATCTGGAGTCAGAACTGCAAGATATGGAGCGATGCAGAAGACGGATGGAGGAGAGTAGTTATCAAGTTCATACACAGGTACAGCAGCATTGGTCCAGTGTTGGGCTCCAGCTCCTTTCATTATCAAAAGGCATGCCGAGGGTCTCACATAGTTTCTAAGAGGAAAGCAAACAATATGTTTGGCTTAATAGAAGAAAAGTTGAGAAACTGTCCTACAATAGGCTCTTTGGGTTGAAAATTAATTAAAACATTTATATATAAGCTAACAGGAAAATGAAGACAAAAATCTCTTACTTGTCTTACTCTCTGAAGGAGGACCATGCGTGGAGTGGCACTTAGTTTTCTGCAGTAAGAGGATCCAGTAAAACTGTTTGTTATTACACTCTTTGAATTAGGATAGCAAACAGGCTTCAAAGATGCATAACACAAACACTTTTAAGTCTTCCTTTCATGTTTACAATAGATATTACACACATATTGGTTCATTTGCTTACATGCAAAATTTACATCTAATGTTGTTACATAAGTACAAATCTAATCAAGTGAAATTTACTTGAATGGTACACATTCATATTTGAATTAATAAACTTTTGATCTTTTATATTTCAGATGCATTTTACTAATAAAAAGAAGCATTTTTAAAATTGTATTTTGTATTATTCACTGTTTACTATAAAGTAAATTTTGCGGTAAGGTGAATTTAGTATTTACCTTGCGATTTAGTTGATAGTGCAGACTCCGGTCTGACAGCCAGGGATGTTTGAGGGACTCTGTTGCACTCATCCTCCAGCTCTTGCTTTTCACCAGAAGACGTGTGATAAAGTCTTTAGCTTCATCTGAGACGTCTTTAAACTCCTCTTCCTCAAAGTTCCACTCACAGGCCAGGATGTTGTTCAGCGTCTCGTTGTCATCATCCCCCAGAAACGGAGACAAGCCGCTGAGTCTGGACATTAAGAATAATACAGATGTCAGGAACTGTACAGGTTGTGTCTCTGTGTGTGCATTGAATGAACTCCTTGACTCACAGCATATAGGTGATGACTCCAAGACTCCACATGTCCGTTGGGAATGACACAAACTCGTAGTTGATGACTTCAGGAGCTAAAAACTCAGGCGTTCCAAAGTTGACCTTTAGCTTCTCCCTAGGCTTATACCTGTCAGAGGAACCAGAACCATAAGAGAAAAACATACTCAAATAAACCAGTGCATGAAAGATGAGGTGACTATAAATCTTACCTCCTGGCAAGGCCAAAGTCAATGATTTTAATCTTGTTAGTAGCTCTGCTGACACAAAGAATGTTCTCAGGCTGAAAAAGAACACAGATTCTGGTGTCACATATACTGTGTTTTAGAGGCCGTTCTTCTTTTTGGCATAGGTGCAAAAGATAAAGAAAAGAACACAGACAACACCCTAAATTTTATTTCATTAACAGAGATGGAAGCTTTTATTTTGAAACTTTATAAACTTGTCTTTTCATTAGACTGTTTAGGCTCCAAATGAATGTTGTAACATATTGAAAAATAAATAAAAATACTGAAAGAGATTATTCCTACTGTGATGCGAAGACTCAAGTAGGTTTACCTTGAGGTCGAGATGTAAGATGTACATTTTATGCATGTACTGCAGCCCTTCACAGATTTGCCGTATAAATAGCACCGTGTCCAACTCTGTGAGGTTGTAGTTCTCGTCAATGATGCGGTCAAACAGCTCCCCTCCTTCCACACTACCACACAAAGAGAGACACTGTTACAGCCAGTTCGAATTTGTAGAGGCTCTTTTTGTATTGTCACAGACACACACAAACTTACTATTCCATGACCAGGATGATGTCGTTACGCGACTCAAATGCAGCGTATAGCTGAATGAGGTTGGCGTGGTTCAGCTGGTTCATCACCTGGATCTCATTCCTCACCACCTCCTGATAGACGGAAATGAAATGTAAATCAAATTTAAAATCACATATAGGAAAATGACACGTAAATATGGAAGTTAATGAATGACAAAACTATATTAATTTTAATTCAATTGTATTTTTTAGAGCCAAATCACAACAGTTGCCTCAAGGAGCTTTATATTGTAGGTTAAAGATTTAATAATACAGAGAAAATCCCAACAAACAGAAAATGAGCAGCACTTGGTGATAGTGAAAAGGAAAAACTGCCTTTTAACAGGAAGAAACCTCTAGCAGAACAAGGCTCAGGGAGGGGCGGGGCCATCTGCTTTGACCAATTGGGGGTAAGGAGAGGAAAACAAGAAAAAGCCAGTCTGCAAGATTTTTAAAGCTTACAAGGAATAAGTTATGAACACAAATAAGTCATGCTTGTCTTGAGGATTTTCAGTGTGTAACATATCAGCTGTTGAATTTGTAAAAAAAAAAAAAGACCTTAAAAGCCAAGTGCTGGTTATATTTTGCCTTATTGAAGCATGTCAAAAAGTGCAAGAGTGCCTTTTGCTTCACTGCACAATTATTCCTCTTTGGTCCCTCATATCATAAAACTGGAGCGATCAAACAGGCAGGGTCCTTTCTATGATGTAAGCTACTGCAGACTGCTATAGAAAGGTTGGTTTGGTCAAGATGGTATGTTAGGGACGAGGTAGATCAAATCCTTCATGGCAGTTTTTGCTTGTGGTTCAGTTTAAAATGTTCAATGGAAACAGAAGTTACAGACCTAAGGGACTTGATTAAAAAGTAAATATTTATATTAGCAGCATGCAACTCATAGCAGCCTGTGCTACAGCCATTCGGGGGCATAGTTAGATACAAATAAGACAAAACAGACGTACAGTCAGACACAAAGTGCCAGCTGTTTGGTCGTGGATCATCAGCGACAGCCATGTGGGTCATTTGAGGATCTGGCTACAAGTTTAATGAGCTTTTTAAATACTTCAGATTATAATCTAACCACACAGCTATACTCTGACATCTGACCTCCACCGCATATCTAGTTGACTGAGAGAAATAAAGACACAATGGGGCTGACAAATGCCCATTACCTCAGCGTGTCTATTTTTAAAATCGAATCCTTTATAATGCAGTGATAAAAGTGACCATGTATTAGACTGTCTGAGAAAACTGGCATCTCAGCAGCATCGCTAAATCTGGATTCTGTTTCGTATTCAGCATTAACCAGCCAGTCATTGCTGCACCTTCTCTTTCTGGCTCCGGGCTTTGATGATCTTGGCAGCCAGAGTCAGACCAGACGAGTTCTCTACGCACTTGTGGACTTGTCCAAAACGTCCCCTAATGAAAGAAAAGCAAACACACGGAGGAGTTAGAGGTGTGGACAGATGGGATGAAGAGCCGGAGAACAACCATTCTGTAAATTGGATTTTATTATTAAAAACAAATATTCCTGGCGCTGAAATATGATGTTTCACGTTTGCTGGTGTTTGCTGCTCAAGCGTATTTGGATACGGTTTTGATTGGTTTTGTTCAGGATCTCTTTAATGTTTATGTCGGACCAATTAAACAAAGGGGTTTTATGAATCAGCTGCCATTAAAAAGCTGAAAATTCTTTTAAATATCAAAATAACAATTTGTTTGTGACTCTTACTTATGTCTATACATTATAATAGTTTATTGACTCGTATAGAAATTCAGGCTATGCTCTTGTGTAATTTGACAAATGTGTTTGCGTGCTAAGGAGTAATCTTCTATTTGAGAGGCAGGATTTAGCGCTGGTCTGTTACATCAGAGAGCCCCCTGAGGGTCAGCACCATTTGCCCTTTGGGGGGGCAACTAAAATTATTAGCGCAGGGTGTGAGATCGTCTGTTATTTCATTATTGAGTGCCAGTGCACACTAAGCATCTGTGCCTGTAACTGAGCGAAATGAAAATAAAGTTCTGTAATGAGAGATGAATGTTCTGAGTGTTTCCCTCACCCTCCCAGGACCTCCTCTCTGTTGATAGTGTAATAGGTGGCGATCTGGTGGGGTTTGGGAGTAACGATGCGGTGGTCGAAAGGTGCTAGCGGTGGAGGACTTGAGTCTGAAGAAGAAATGAAAAAGAAAGGCAAAGAGAAGACAAGTTACTGTTACTGAGTGCAGAGAGGGAACGAAAGGCTGAGGAAGAGGTCTCAGCACCCAGAAACAAAGTAGTTTAAAATAGCAGCATGCCGGCGTCTCATTATGTGCTCCGCCAGCTGTGCTCGCTGACATGTTAGTGACGCTCGCACAGGCATGCTGTTATGACACTGAAGCTGATTTAAAGTCTGAGGAACGCAGAGGCAAATGTCATAAAGTAACTCATCAAGCTGAGTCTACACGGAGAGCCTATAGGATGCATGAATACTGCGCTGAGCAGTCCAGGATTTTGAAACACTGAGGTCATGAAGCCTAAATGCATCTTTTATGGATAGCACTGGAAATGAAAAAAAAAAACCCTCAAAGATGCACTATGAAAAGTGTCTGACCGTTTTTTGCTGACTGTCACATATCTTTTATTTGCAGCTTATAGCAGATTTAAACAACAGAAGTTGACCTAAAGTGCTTTTTTACATCTCCCCCCAAAAAATACATTAAAGCTGAAATGCATGTTTTGTTGTGTTAAGTAAAAATCACTGTGTTTTAATGATCATTAAAATGTGTTTTGAGTTTTCAGATTGATGATGATTCATCTCATTCATCATGAAACCCTGTCCTCCTCTAATAGTGCCCTGCATGTTCCTGGGATTGGATCGATATTGAAATTTGCAGTATTGCACAGCACTACTTCTTGATCTTTGTCAGTCTGCGGTCTCTACTCCCTCACATGCACATTGATAAGATACTGCATGTATACAATATATTGACTGACACTGACGGTGATTCAGAGGCCTAAATTTCAAAACACAAGTTCCTGAAATCTTTCCTTACCTGATTTCTACAAACACTCCCATTTACATGTCGTAGCATTAGTTGTAGAAAGCAACAGCCTACACCCCAACCTCCCTGGACCGTTCAGAAAAGAAGCACTCACACACTTTCTTACCAATAATAAACTCCTTTATTTCCTCCGCCGCCTCCCCTTCGTCTTCTGTCTTCGCTTGGTCAGATATGGAGACCTGTGGCTCAGCTCCCTCTACGACCTGTCCATCAGCCCTTTCCACTTTACTGTCCTCCACCCGGCTCTTTTTGAGGTCGTCTTTTCCAAGGTCTTCTTCCGGGACGTGGCGTTTGCTACAAGTGGCCACATCACCAGCCTCCTCGGAGCTTCAGAAAGGAAGGCACAGAATATGAATGTGTGATGTGGTTTGAAGTTCCCCTTTTCCTCCCCCAACAAAATAATTTCCTCTTAGCTGGCTTAATGATCCAAAGAAGTACAAGTAAAGAAAATAAATAGTTAACTTAATGAATTTAATAGCAAGTAGCATAAAGATATATGGTAGCTTTGCTAAGACACACCTGTCATACTGAAGCACAGAGGCCCTGCAGAGCCAGGCTTTTTCTGATTTTGATGATTCTTCTCTATGCGTTGTCTTCACATCATCTTTCACTTTTCCACGATTTTCAAGACTAACATCTTCTCCATTTTGCTTTTCTTCTTCTTTTTCTTGTTCTTCTGGCTCAGAGTCTTCAAATATACCCCCCTCTCCTTCCTCATCCTGCCTTTCCTCAGCCTCCTCCTGCCTTTCGTCTGACTGGGCAACAGAGGTGTGCGGTTCTTCAAGGATCAGCGTTTCCAGATCCTGTCTTCCACTTCTTCCATCCCCCTCAGCCTCTATGTTTATGTGCGAATGCTCGGTGTTCTGCCTGTTGAGCTTTTCCACCTGTTCCTGGAGCACAGGCTCATTCAGGGAGGAGGTGTCTGTAGTGAAGAAAATACACGGATACAACCAGATGTTTGGTGAAAACGCTGTATTATATTTACTAAAAATGAATGTAATCAGATGATTGATAATCCTCAGATAGATGGAATTCACTCATCACATATTTACATCTTATGCTAGTCTGGGTGGTCACTTGCTCGATAAGTCTGGCCCAATTCAGATAAAAATCTCACATCATCCTCTGGATAGTTTGTTGCAGAGTGTTGTGAAGACACGAGTGCAGATCCGGTTCTCAGATCCATATTAAAGCTGTCAAGCTAAGACCTAAATTCTGATCTGTCATCTGTGTTTCAAATTTTGCTCATATATACATTTATTATGCGAGCTTGACATGTAAACATGGGGGATTATTGCAGACAAATACTGTTTAAATTTTATTCACTTTGCCTTTTGTGTTCTGACTGTTTACATGTTGGTCGATGTGAATGTATCCTATTTATTTAGATACTGTTTCATTCTCCTACTTGGGTCTCTTATACTGTCTTCCCTCACTTTTGTCAGATTGCGATGTCTTCAGTGTCTTTTTGCATTTTTTTCTTCTCATTGCCTGAATTTGTAGTGTTTTGTTTGATTTCTCATATATTTAAATAAAGGCTGAACTGCCTCTTGTCTCCCTTTTTATGCTGTTATCCTTCAAACATGATGAAAACTGTATTTATGTCTGCCAAAAAGTCAGCAGATGTAGCAGTGCAGCCATGCGAGACTTCCAGGGATCATTACATAGCTTGTCTACATATAAGATTTAAAATTTTTAAAGGCCTTCTTAATATGTTTCCCATCATTTACTTATATTTTATGTTTTTATGCTAAACAGAACACATATCTTATATTACAAAAACAATTCTCAGAAATCCTGAACTGGTCTCCCTGTTATATTAAAGTCCGTTATATTCCATGATGTACATATATTTCAGATTTATGATGTATTATATGCAGATAACGAGTTTAGAAATTTTGTGGTGGGCTCTGCATAAACTTGTGATTGTGGATTGTGTAATATCTTGTTTGAGTTTACCTGACGTTTCTTGCGGTTTTCTCTTTTTCTGGGCCTTTAAACCTTTCAGGCTCAGCTTGGCTTTTTCCTTATCATCCTTTGCCTGGATGTTAACAGAGGAAAGAAAGATCAGGTTTTAGACATTGTGCGTAACATTCAAAAGTGGGGCAAAACCTGCAATTGGTGGAAACTTCTCATAGAAAGGAAAATTGCTGATAGATGCAGATATTTCCATTTGTGCAATAATGTGACAACAAGCTTCAAAGCAGTTTCTGTTGGGAAGGTTTTCCCTCATAACTCAAGTGTATTGATGTCTTGCTCAGCAGATGCCTCCTTCTGGCCAAAGAGGAAATATGTGGCATTTCAACTACAGCAGTTGAAATGCTACACATCACTCGAATCAGTTCCACACTTTAAAAGAGAAATATTCACTTTATCCCTGCATACAGTATATATGACAGTCGCCATATGGTGCAACAAATCTGTCTCCTTAACCCTGTATCTAAAAAAAGCCTCTAAATCAGCAGTGTAACCATAGATTATATGAATGCATGAACTATGCAATATATGTTGCATGTGTTACACATCTGTAACATATATTCATATTTGGTTACAGCACTAGGAAGTGAGTCTCTCTAATAAATCATGGCATTAAGAACGATTAAGAATTTGACGACTGTTGGACTGAAGCTGTGCAGCTGCACTGCAAGCTGATAAAGACGTGGTCTGGGAAAGATAACCAATGTGACATTAATCATTTACACCTCGGAGGCCGATCACAGTCTCAATGGTAAATCACTTAACATTACAGCAGGCACAGCAGAGCCAAGACCAGCCACATAGGAGTCATATCTAAACTCACAGGAGTTAAAAGGCAGAGTTTTAAAAAACATTGCCATTTAAATGTTATTTGAACTGTCACATATACACAATATGAATACATTCAGTCAAGAGGATACCAATGCAACCATGCTCACTATACAGTGAGACCTTTCACTTTCACTGCCATGTTCAACAATGCAGATAAAAATGATGGAACTTTAAAAGTGCTTTTGCTAGATTCTAGTGGAAAACTTGCTCATGATGTCGTTTAAACTTCTCACCTTCCTGTTGGCTTTCCGTCCAGGCTGTTTGAACAGAAGCTCCACCAACCTGGAGCTCTTTACCACCTCACCGATGAAGCTTATCACCTGCTGGGTGCCCTCCACCAGTTTCTCCACCCCCTCCAACCTGCGTCCCTGACTCTCCATGTGCTCACTGGCCCTCTCCATGGCCCCATGCAGCTCCCTGCATACTGCTTCTACCCCAGACCCACGGCTTTTTCCATGGCTTTCTTCACGTATTGAAGCTAGATCCAAACCCATACCCCTGACATCCTGTGACAGGCCATCCAGCTTGATCAAGACAGTCTGTTGCATGTTGAGCAAACGCTCCATCTGAGAGCTCAGGAAGTCCATTCGACTTTCCACAGATCGCAGGGCAACATCATGAGGAGAGCAAGAGGATGATGATGAAGAAGAGGAAGAAGCAGCTTGAGACTTTTCTGATCCATTTAGAGAAAGCTTCCTTCCACCTGGCTTCTGCCCGTGAAGAGGGTTTGGATCATAAACCTTGGCTAAAGAGTTAACAAGGCTGGAGCTCATGATTGACCTAAACGTGACTTCTAATAAAAAGCGTTTATTTAATCTAAATTCTAGTTACTCTCACAAAGTCTCAACTAGCACAAAAAACATAGTGCCAGACAAAGCTGCAGACAAGTTGAAAGGACTGGAGGGACAACAGATAGCTCTCTTCCAATCCTTCACCACCGAGCTGAGTTTTAAGAATAGCAAATGGCTGTTCTCCCAATTACAGTGCAACACCGCTGTGGACGTAAGGGACTCGGTGGCCAGTGATAAGAGCTGAGGGCTCGAGTGTACAGTGGGGGATGCTGGGGAGGGTCGCTATGTGACATTTGAGATACTTCAAAAGCCCTTCAGTCAGGTGTTAGAATCCCAAGAATGCTGAACTAAATATGATGCTGTAAAAAGCAAGATAAACAAATATAGTTTAGGGCCAATAAAGAAAAGCATAACATCTCTAAATCTGAAGAGCCCGTGCCATTTTTCAGCAGGTTTAGTCACATTACACCATTAATCGCATTTTCATTTTGTTTTTCACATTGTAACAAGATTGAAGGAGGGATGCCAGCACGTGCGAAGTGGTAAAAAAGTTACTAATTAAAGAGGACTGAGATTATTTCTGAACACTGCCAAATACTATCAGTTTATCGCTTTTTATACCTAACTTGTTTCACTCAGAGTAGCAGAGAGGAGCCATTTAAATTTTTACCAAATCACCACCATTCTGACTATTTAGCAGACTGTTTTCTATCTTTCTGCAGTGTATTGCTGCATTTTTGAGTTATTTTGATTGTATTTATGGTTAAATATGAATATTAAAGATTTTTTTATTTGCTGTTCATTAAGTTTAAAAGTCATCATTTATTTTACAGCTCACTAATCCTGAGCCAACACTGTTCAAGGACAGAAGTTGAGTAAAAGTTAAAAGGGTTTGGTTTTCCTCTGGAGGCCACCAAGTGGAAAGAACTTCCGAGGTTCCCAATATAAGCCTGCTGTCCACACACCGTGAGGGACACAAAGACAACGGGACACAGGTGATCCAGCTGACACCTAAGAACTGTTGATGCAGAGGAGAGGGGGATTGTGGGAGAGGAAACTTCCTGCACATGTGTTGCTGTACAGAATTAAAGAGGACAGACATACACACTGTCGCTGACACACGAGTTCATATTCATGAACAGGCCCACCTACTGAGACATGACTCTGCACATTGACCTCAAACTTTTCCACATCTCAGTACAGTCTATCAGGAGTAGGCTGAGCGACAAAGCGCTGGCGCCTATATACTGGCACCCATTTGTCAACAACGGAAAAACCTGACCTATACTCTGCTCCTCACGCTGTTCCCAAGTACGGACAGCTCATCAGCTGTCAGGGTTAACACTTGTATCCCCAGTGGCTATTTGCTATTGAAGGTGAGAATGATAAAGGACACGGTGCAAGTGCAGACAGAATGCAAAACATATGGTTGAAATACATGTTTCCTTACTGAAGGAGATCAGTAATCCGGCAAAAGTGTTTTCACACTAAACTGCTTTATAAAGATTATTGCAAAGCCTCTGTTTGACATTAATCAAAGATAAAATACTGTAATTAGTCAGGGTCTAAAACGATATTCAGTGAAACTTCAGAAACAGCTCTCATGCTAAAGTGGATTACTGCAAGTAAACATATAGAAAAATCTGTTTTTTGTAGCTTTTTCAAGCAATTGCTTTGTACGGTGGCCCTAAGAGGTCAAACTGTTTAAGAAAACACCTGAAATTATAAGAAAAACAACTGCAAAAGCACATAAAACGCAACAGAAGTTGTATAAAACACAAAGGACGTAGAAAAAAAATGCAGCCCAAGCTCACAAAAAAAATAATCACAAAACATGACAAAAATACTATATGAGGGAGAAAAAGATGAATGCACAATATCTTCCATCTTTTCCATCTCCATCTGAGGATTCAGCAGTGCTGTGAAGGAGGAAAAAGATGGAAGAGATTGTGCATTCATCTTTTTCCTCCTTCACAGCACTGGTGAATCCTCTCCTTCATGCCTTCACTATCTCAGTGCAGTGTTTTGGTTTCTGTCACTTCAGGAGCTGGTCCGTCACAGTTTTGTTTCCCCCAAAACGCTTCTGTTGTGCTTTTTGACATTTTTTTTAATAGTTCTCTTCTATTTTATTCAACTTCTGATGTGTGTTTTATGTGCTTTTGGAACATTTTCACATTTGGTGGTGCTTTCTGAAGGTGCAGTACATTTGGCCTCACAGGGGCACCATAGTTTTGCACTTGAAACACCACAAACTAAACACCACAGATTCAACCAAAAAGAGGTTTTTATATCTCTGTATCAACGGCCTGTTTCATAAAGGTATTTCTCGGGAGTTTTGCGGATAACTTGGACTCAGGGAAGAACTGGGTGATCAAAAGTCACTGTGTGAAAACAATTTCGAAAATATCTAGTTAAAGAAAATCCAGTCAGGATTCATTCATGAATGACACTATAGTTAACATGTCAGATGGCAAGGCCACCATTCTTTCTCTTGCTCTCTTTATTTTTTGTTGTCTTTAATTAATTAAAACATGTTCTATGTACGCTTGGTGTTCATTTTAAAGTAAGCTGCTCTCACTACATGAATACTTTTGTTAAACTTCAGTACTATATATGTTACAGCAAGTTAGCACAGATCTCAAGCATCTCTTTTGAAAAACTTCAGAAAGTTTTGCACTTAGCCATAGCCACTAAACAATGACCTATAGGAAACACACACAGGCAGTCAAATACACACATGTAATGACTCAAAAGAATTGCTGCCATTAAAATGCTACATACACACAAAAACACTGCATCTCAGGAAAAATTATTATTTTCAGGAGCTGTCTTTTTTGGTTTCTCTTTCTCTCCTTCAAAGATCCTTGCTTCGCCCAAGCTCAGTGAGTTGCTGCCACGCCGTCATGGAGAGTATTGACAGTGTTTATTGTTTCTAAAGGAAGAAGAGGTTACACAGACGTTTCCTGCCACTGCGGTCTTTTTGATTTACATTTGAGAATACTCAAATAGGAATGCCATGATATTTTATATGAAATAAACATCAAATGTGATATGCTGCTCTGTGGTCATAATTGCACTGTGTAAAACCTTTATCTTTTTCAAAGCTACTATTTGTGTAACAAAAAAAAAAAATCAGACCAGATAGATTTTAACAGCATTAAACAATTTTTTCACAGGCAACAACAAACAATACTGCTACAACAAAAAAATATTTTATTATTTAGATTATATTATACTGTCATATACTCAAAAGTATATTGTGCTTGTTTTAGAAATATATAAGTAAAAAGGGAGTAAACAGTACACTATTTTATATGAATGTATCTTCCTTTTCCCTACTTCTTTATTTCCTTATATCAGCATCAGCTCTGAATCACTGCATATTCCATAACAACTACCTTTTGTGGGGACAAATTGTGATACAGTAGATGGCTAAATAAATCTCCACACAGACTCCACACTACAATAGCCAAGAGCCAGTAGGGTCGGAGCAGAGTGCTGGTAGATTGGTCTGGTGGAAGGTTTAACTGTACCCTGTCAGACAAGCTCTGAAATCCCTAGTCAGAAAAGGTTACATGGTAACACGAGAGGCTGTGTGGTACAGGAGCACAGTTTGGGAATGAGGCTGACGCAGCCTAGCCACTCTCACCGCATATAGAATTACTCAGCAGGAAGACACAGACAATTTATAATGCTTCTTCTACTGCCGTGGGCTTTCCAGTAATCCATTATCACTCCCAGAGCCACAATTATAGTCTGTGTCACACATAACAAATGCACGCCTTGGGATGGTTGCTGTTGTGGTAAACCTGGTCCATATTTAACAATGCTGTAGCTTGGCGAGGGAAAGCTGAAATAAGAGGGACATGGTAAGTAGGTAATTTACTTAAGTGATGGATTTTTTCATATTTTTGAGACAAACATTTTTTCCTAGGCTTGCTTATTTATAAACTAGAACACAGAAAAATGGTCTAAAATGTGTTTTCAGTTTCTTGAAATGACAGCAAAATATAAATGTGCATGTGTCAGTAGATTCATGCATGCCTTTTCTATATTTTGCTTCAAATTGATATACTTGAAAAGCAGTTTGGGTCAGGTAGACGAGTGTTTTAAAGGACATAGGAAGAAGTAGGGCTTGTGGATTAAATTGGTGCCTCCTATCCAAATGATTAGACCAGGAAGGGAAGGGATACAGACGAGACATTTTGGACCCACCGACAACAGCTCAGTGGCGGCTCTTTGAGCTTTGGCATGTTCCAGGGTGCTGGTCCAGCTCTGGGACCCCTGGATAATCCAGGGTTTCCCTCCCAAATGGCATCCCTAACCACATAAGATTCACCATACCATGAATATGACTCACACCACGCAACCTTGCTGAGACCAAAGATAGTTGCATTCAGAGAGGGGGTCCTCATCAACCCAGCAGTGTGCTTGACCTGAACAGTAACGAACCACATGCACACTCTTCACACAGACTTCATTTTTACATTTTACATTTTCTTAGAGGTTTTAGTTTGAAATTCTGGAAAAACCTTGAAAAGCTATTTCAGCCCTGCATGCCAGCCAAAGTATGCAAACCCAAGATACCGTCTCTTCATAGTTGTACATTTGAAATAGAAAATTTCAACATATTTTGCACAATCTACACTTTTTCCTTACAGTTCCCTATTAGAGATTTAGTCGTTGGGAGCAACATGAGTCAATTTGAAACTAAAGTTTTGCTAAACCTGCACCATGCAAAGCTGTAGTGATCTGTTCAGCAGGTTATGTAACATTTTGCGTTTAATGACAGGATTGTTCCGTTGTTGATAGACCATACAAGTCTGGCGAGTAGATGCCAATAGGAACAAGTGCACATATTATCTCCGCAGCTCCACCTGCTGCTTTTTTATCTGTCAAACCTGCATGTGTCACCACTGGCCGATGACAGTCTGTTCTTTCCACAGTTTAGCTGCCATGATAACCAGATGGTAGATTTAGCTCTCAGCAGCCTCAGAGCTCAGTGGGACAGGAAAAAATTCTCTTCATAGAACAGAGGTGCTTTATTACGTCAGAAAAGTTTGTGTGTATGTGAAGCGTGTTTGTGGTGCAGGGGGTAGCGAGGATAAGCATGCGGACGTGTTACATGCTAAACAGCATGAATGCATAACCCCGAGTGATATCACACAAATGTCAAATATCAACACTGTATCACATTCCATTTTATGCTAAACTAAAAGCTAAT